ATTATTAAATTGTCACTATTTGTTACATGAACTAATATTCATTAATTAAATTCTAAATATTATTTTAAAGGTTATTACAAATTGTTGCAGGTGTTTTCAATATTCTATTATCATGATATTTTCATTCTGTAACACCGTCCCTGAAGTAAGTTTACTTTTCTATCTAATAATAATTAAAATATTTCGATATATTCCGTAATATTAAGTAATAATTAATTAACTAATAACCATTAATGAATTCTTATCACTCTCTTCTTCAAACTTACACCCGACAACAATCGTATTTATACTTTCTCTTTTGTTTACACTTCATCCTACTCATCTTCGTACTTTATCTTTCATCCTGGTACAGTCATCCTTCATCCTCGTACGTACTTCATCGTACGGTCATATCACGTGAGATAACAATTACCTGAATGTTCATCTAGTGACACAATTTATCATCCCCCGTGACATTTCACCTGATTACCAATTTGGATCGCCACAATATTACATAACAACCTGACCATATCTACCATGAGTACCCACAATACACTTATTATCTGAATCTAATATTGTAATTTCCAAAAATAATGAAGCATTCTACCACCGGGGACAGTGCTTTTTCTCAATCACAGATTTCGGAAAATGAAAAAATAAACCAAGTAATTCACTATTCTGGTACCTTCTACACACAAGTATTACAGATTAAGACTTTGGATGAGAGGGAAAAGCAGATTGACAAGAAAAGGCAAAAAATGGCTTACAGAATATATTAAAAACTTGCGATAAATTATAAGTACTCTTAGACAAATTTCTCATATCCACTAAGATACTTATACAATATCAATTATTTTTTTTACACATAAATATTATCCAAGTTCAAATAGATATTATACTTATTCACCTAACTCACACATCTCGTATCTGATTACTTTTTTTATCAATGCCTCATGTAAATCTCAGTATCGCGAACCATATAATTACCATGACCAATAAGGTAAGTAATAATAGTGGTGACATCAAACCACTTGTCACAACAGAATCGCTTCCACTCCATCTGAGGATGTGATTTAATTGGAGGTGGAATATTATTTCTCTGTTGTTCAAAGTATGGTGTCACATTTTTTTATTTCTTGAGATTGGAGTATGTTATCTTCATTAGATTCATTAATGGTGATTTCATCACTTATCTTGGGGGTGCTCTCAGTATTGATTTTTGGAGATTCGGGTGAAGGAGTACTTTCATCATCAGTATGAGTCAGTATAGTCACTATATGACTACCTTCAGTACTAGTATCATTTTTTCCAATCTCATCCATATTTTTTTTGCAAACTATAAACTTACTAAGATTAATAATTTCAGGGATATTATCAGAATTCGATAAGGAACTGTGTTTTTCACTTTGCATATTTTTTCATCACCTCCAGTAATCATAGGTTCTGATATAGCTTCTAATTTCAAACGCTCAAGCTCACTAACCTTCGAAGAAAATTCTCATTCTATTTTAACTATTTTAGATTTAAGAGATAAGATCTCAGAATCTTTTTTTTGATGTGTCAGTCTTAAGTTAAACAATGTCAGCAGCTTAGCTATCAATGTAAATTTTTTGATAAAACCATTTTATTATCCTTTAGCAATACTAATACAATCATATTAATGTCCATTAAACAAGATTTTATATGACGTACATTACAATGTACATTTTAATATTAATTTTACAATTATAACTACCACTATATTAATATTAAGTATGCATTTTTAAAAGTTATGACCTAAAAAATGGAGCCTCCTGATATTTTTAAACTTATGTATCATATTTTTCTATAACTAATAATAATAAAAAAATAAACAAATAAAGCGAAGTATTTAGAATTTAAATAATGCGTGTTATACTTTGTTATTGTCAATAAGAATTATAGAATACAATTCATATATTTAGATTCTTTATCACGAGAGGTTATTTGTGCATGTTTATCGATCTTTAATTTTTTTTTCAAAAAAAAATTTTAACCTGACATCTGTAACTTGTAACTACACAAGGGTGTATCTGTTCTTTGTACTTTGATGTCCATGCTATTTATGCCATTTCTTAAAAAGAAAAAAAAATTAAAATAAATATTCAAATTTTGTAATTTTGAAAATTGCTGGTGGTGATTGTCATCACTGGGCAAAGTTAAAGGGGGTGATCCAGGAATTATGTAATTTTGCCCGGCGGTGACAATCACCACCGAAGTTTTAGCAATACCCATAATTTTTATTGGTGATACAATGCGGAGTATGCATTGCAGATAGCGTAATTTTTTAAAATACTCCAACATCTGGTGGATATGGTACGAACTTCAGATAATTCAACCCAACGAGAGTTAAAAGTTGTAACTTACAACTAGATATAATTAGTTTATTGATAATATCTATTGATCTTACTTTTTTGAACCTCAGATATTAATCGTTTGATTTCCATATATAATGGATGTCATTATGAAATTTATGTCGTTTTGAGTAATAATCATCCTATAGGCTTATTTAAATTTATTAAAATTTATCAAGAAAAATTATAATATTTTGAAATATTATCAAATAAATTTATAATAATAGATAATGGATTTATTATTGACTATGCACATGACATTAGAAGAAACGTAATATTAATATAAATTGATATATAACCTAATAACCGCAATTAAATAGGATCAATATATTTTTTTCTCTAAAAAAGATGAGATAAGTACAAAAAGTATACTATTATCTTACCAACTCTGATAAATTTTCCATATTTAGACACTAAATAAGACTGGAGATAAAAATAATATATAAATTAAAATATAGATAAAATAATATTAATAAAAAATAATATTTTAAAATACAAAAAAAAATCAAAAAAATGCCTTTTTCCTTTAATTAGACGATAGATCATACACGTTACTGAGTGCTAAGAGTTTTGGTCCTGAGAAAACTTTAGCAAGTGGACTCTAATTATTAAAATTGTATTAATTTTATTTAGTTATTTATAATCATTTGTACTCATACTAAAGACTATTCGAGAAACATAGACCACCAATGATATTATTTGATTTTATAAATACCATCAAAAGAAGAAAGCGCGTATTATTAAATTTTTACAAACGTCTTTTAAATTCCTTTTTTAAACAGATGTGATCTTTGGAAATAAATTTTAAATAAATTGTAAATCAAAAAAAAAAACAAAAACAAAAAATAATCACTTTTGCTGTTTTTTAGTTCTAAGTTCCAAATATTTTCATAAATTTCCTAGGTAAAAAATCTTTTGGCTGATTTTTTTATAATACACAATCAATCCGGAAAACAATGATAAATTGATATATTTTTTTTCATATATTTGCAACGTTAACAAGAAAAATAATTAATTAATTAAATGGTATAAAAAAGCTACAGAAAATGATTGTAATAAAGATTGGAAGATTCATTATGAAGGATATGGAACCGAGAAAGATATTGTAAAAGCTATCTACTGATTAAATAAAGCAGAAATAAAGATGCAAATAAATTTTTAAAAGAAATAATCACTAAATAAAGTAAATAGGTTATCAATGATATTTTATTACATATTATTTTTATTATATAGATTATTACATTATATGATAAAGATAGAAAGATTATTTTTCAAAATTTTATTTAATATACTGATTCATGGATTCGTTGCTTTCCCTAATATTTCATTAACGTAATTAGAAATTAATAAATTTCATAAACGTAATTAGATCATTAATAACATAATTTCATCGCTTTTTTTACATTCACCATTTTTATCTTGAATTGGAAACTTACTTCATTTCCAGTACAATTTCTTGATCTAAAATGACATTGATAACCATTTAAAAGTTTTGCGTTGACGTCAGTTTGGACAAAATTACTTTACGGATAGCAAAAGCTTTTGGACATTAATGTAAAATGTAGAAGAAAGCGCATATTACAAACTTCTCGTTAATAATAGGCTCATGTGATTATTGGTGACCAATAGTAATCGATCACAAGATTTGAGCGTTTATATTAATTATTAAAAATATTTTTTTAATGAATATGTAAAAACAGTCACCTAAATTCAAATACTAAATCCCAAATTAATTTAACAACGACAAAAATTTTTATTAAAATTTATTTTTATTATTATTTATAAATTTTATATCATTATTGGTTTTTTTTTTTGAATTCCCACTTTTTAAATAAAATTTTATATTTAAAATGTCAAATCTCTCAAATACAAGATAGCTTTTTTTTAGCTTAACATTAAAGATTATTTTTTTTAATGATCTCAATAATAATTGATGATCTGCATCTAAACAAGTACTTATGTGGTGCGGAAATGTGTGAAAGATTTGACTAATCTCTCTCTTTACCAAAAAAAAAAAAACTATTATTATTATTTTTTTTATTATTATTTGTATTTGTTTTTTTTTTTTTTGTAAATATGTCTCATTTTAAAGTATCCGCATCTGAACCAATAATCAAAAGATCTTTAATTGATGGTGAAGAAGAAGAAAAAATAATTTCAGTTGAATTTACCGTACCAGAATATAATCGTGATGGAACATTTAAATTAGCAAAATATTCTTATCAAGCAGAAGAAGATTTCGATAATCCCAAAATTGATAAAGGTTGGAAAATCTTTAGAAATGATGAAAAGATGTTAAGTGTAGAAGATGGATATGTAATTGTTACCGGAAAGTATTGTGGGATTTGTTCCACGGATTTAGCTAGAAGATTCTTGCCTTTTCCATTGCCTCAGGTACCAAAATACATATATATATATAATAATAATAATAATAATAATAGATAAAATAAAATTTCATTAGAATTTTTAATTGATTGATTTAAAACAAAATAAGAAAGAATTTTTTTTTTTTTTTTAAAAAAAATTATTAATATTAAAAGATTATAGGTCATGAAGCTGTCGCTATACATAAATCTAAACCTGTTGTAATTGAAATCAATGCGTCTCACTATGCTCGTGGAATTCATAAAAAATTAAATCCACCCTGTTCTTTTTGTCAACATGGTTTATCTACTCAATGCCCAGATCGCGTATGTTTTTGTTTTTTATTTCTTTATTTATTATTTACTCATAAAACTTATTTAAAAAAGTAAAAAGAAAAAAAATTTTTTTTTTTTTTTTTTCAGATAACTTTGGGAATTAATCAATTACCTGGAGGTTTTGCACCTTATATACTTGCACCAAAAAATGCTCTCATACCAATTCCTGAGAATTTAAGTTTAAAGGTTGCAAGTTTGGCTGAACCTTTTGCCGCAGCTTTGCATGTAATATTTATATTTATTTATTTATTTTATTTTCAATAAATATTTTATTTGAGAACTTTTTTTTTTGATACCCCCTGTTATTTTTTTTTTTTTTGTTTAATAGGCGGTAGAAACAACTCCACCAATTAATGGTCAAGAGGTTGCTGTCTTAGGTCCACGCAAATTAGGAATGCTTATAATTGCTGCTTTAAATGGTAAAAAAAAAAATTTTTTTTAAAGAATTTACATCTAAAGAAAAAAAATCTAATAATAATTATATATATATAATTTATTAATTATTATTATATATATATATATATTTTTTAATTAAAAATTTCAAAGTTTATAAAAAAAGTCATAATTTAGATTTTCAAATAACTGCAATATTTCATAAAAATCCACCTCCCACTCAACTTTCAAATCTTGCTAGAGAATTAGGATCTCAAATTGAATCCTCATCATCATCATCATCATCATCATCATCATTTTTATCATCCATCAAAAAATTTGATATCGTCTTTGATACAACCGGTTCACCTCAAGGATTTTTACAATCAATTAAAATTACCAAAAAAATTCTTCATTTAAAATCAACTCATGGACAAAATGTTTGTGGATTAAATCGAATGACGGATTTCGTGGTTGAAGAATTAAGTTTATTAAAATTTTCGAAAAAGAATTTAGAATTTTATTGGCCTACCGATTTTAATGATGATGATGGTAATGATGGTGATGATGATGATAATAATAAAAATAATAACGATAATAATAATAGAAGAATGAATCATAATGTTTTGATTACTCCTAGTGTAAATGAAAAGATTATTAATTCTATTAAAAGTACTGGAAGGAATGTAATTTTAAAAGATGTCAACAATTCCATAAATGATATTTTGGAATGGATTGATCAATTAAATAAAGGTCAAGTGTTAGATCAAAATTTGAAAAATTCTCCAGTTCCAAGATTTGATTTGGTTGTAATTGGAAATCTTAAAGAAATTGATTCTGTTATACGACCTAAAGAAGGAATGGTAATAATTTGATATTTCGAATTCAATTCTCAATTTGATAAAAAAAAAATTTTTAATCTAATCTAATCTGATTAATTAATTACTTCAACAAATATTTTTAAAAAACATTAAAAAGGATCTATCAATATTACGTTCACGTGGTGCAATCTTGTACGCGCCATCTGAACCACCACCATCATATAATGATAATAATGAAATTCAATTATTATCTAAAGCGCTCATTGATGACGATATTCAAATTTGGTCAACCCGATGTGGAAATTTAAAAAATTCTTTGAAAGGATTATCAAAAAATTTGGAGATTACAAATATTTTAGAAAAAAATATGATTACCAAAGAAATTACCTTGGAAAATTTGGATGAAGGATTTGATCTGGCGATGAGTGGTGATCACATTAAAATACTTGTTGATGTGGAAGCTAAGAATACAATTTGATTTAATTTTTTTTTTCTTTTTTTTTTGCATAGAATCATAATAAAATTCTATATATATTTCTTTTTTTTAAAAATTTTTTTATCTTTTCTTCTTCTTTACATTCTTCCTTTTTTTTTAAAAAAAATAGAATATACGTACATCCATACATATATGTATGTTCAATTCTCTATAGAAAAAAAAATATTGTAAACATAAATTTAAAGAATATATTATTATTACATAAGGATAAATTTGATAATAAAAAAAAATTGATAAAAATTTTAAAAATTTAGAAGTATCCGCGAGATAAGAATGTTTTCGTGACGTAGCATGAAATCATTAATTCATTTAATATACTTAACTCGGAATATGCAGGGCAAACTTATATAAAACGAGGTGATTAAATGAACTTTAATGAGTGATCATTTATTATCGTAACATTTGGCTTTTTTTTTAAAAAAAAAAAAAAATCTTCCAAATCAAAGTTATTCAATGAGAAATTAAAATTCTTTATATTTTATTTATTATTAATTATTATTTTCATTTATTTCATTTATGTTATCAAATAAAGTTAAGTTTTATTTTGAGTAAGTTTGTCATTGTTGTCGGATCATCGAAGTAAGATGACAATCCTTTTTTTTTTTTCGCCACAAATAATGTAATAATGTGGTGTGGTGGTGAAGAAATTCTAATGTATTATAAAAAAAATAGTTTAATTGGGTTTTAACAGTTCTATTTAATTTATTTGAATATTTAGGTAACATAAAAGAAAGTATAAAAAATTCCTATTTTAGATAACATAAAGAAAGATTGGAAAGTTTATTGAATGTTGATTCATGCAATATTTTTTTTTGCTGCAAACATTTTCAAAACAGTGTTATAAAAAGTCAGTGTGTAATACATTTACATACGCGCGCGCACACATTTATATATTTAATGTATATATATCAAATCCACCCTATATCCATTGCCTTCATTCATTGTCAGGATCAAAGAAGAAAAATAACATCACCACAATGAAATTTTTTAAAGTTTCTATTTTTCGAAAGATTTTTGAAAATCTAGATCAAAAAAAAAATTTTTTGTTTATGTATACAGTAGTGTAGTTTTTTTTTTTTTTGATCCAAGTGAAAAGAAGGACACCAAGAAGAATAAAAACAATAAAAAACAATAAAATTATTTATAGTAATTTCAAATCATGTATTATTTATTATATTTATTATATTTATTATTATTTATTATTATTTATTATATTAATTCCATTATTACGACTATTTCTGTGATAAATAATCAAGCAAATACTGTATTTTTCCTTATTTTCCTTTCTATTTCCATACTAAGAATTACTTTACAGACTCTTGCGATTTTTGATTTGAAATTATATTTTTATTCATTACTTTATATCATCACATTCATTACTTTATTACTTTATATCATTCAATTTCATCACAATTTTCTAACATAAAAAAAAAATAGCCAATATTTTAAAAATTGAATTCCTTCTTTGTGAATTTCTATTAAAAAATTAAGTAAAGTAAGTTATCACATATATATATAAATTACACATACACATATTATATGGGGAAATACGTTGTTATAATAAATAAAAATTATAAATATAAATAAAAATATATAAATATATAAATACAAATATAAATATAGTATAAAAATAAAAATAAAGCTAAATATAAGAAATAAATATACTGTATATAAATTAAGTTTGTTCAAATTAAAATGTTTATTTTATTCTCTTTGCAAGATTATTATCGATCATAGTGCATAAAAGACAGGAAATAGAAAAAGAATAAAAAAAAAAACCACATGAAGAAAAACATTTCCTTACAAGATTCTCTTAATTGGTCATTTAAGCGAACGATAAAGAAGAGGAGAATGGAGATCATATGACAATTTTCCCCAGAAGGCGGCCCTGAAAGATGCATCCTCATGCACGATAATTATCAAATAATAATATCAATAGTTCTAGTAATACTAGTACTTAATTTCCTAAATCAAAAATCTAAGCCTCCTACCAGATGTGGATTAATTTACATATGAAAATTTTAAAAAACTTAAATAATTATTTTTATTATGATCTAAAGAATGAAAAATGAAATAAACAAAAAAAAAAAACGAAAACCTGAATAAAAACGAAAAAACCTGTTCAAATTCTCATTATTTATTTCAAATATATTATTTTGTGAATATGTATGTATACATATAAAGAATTTTGGATTTGAGTAATTCAGGCTTGATCACATGATACCAAGAGAGTGTATTCTTTGAAAATAAACTTGTTTTAAAATCTCATATTTTTTTTTAAAAAACATTTTTAAGGAGGGATTGCCAAAAGAACACCAACAATAAATGATAAGAACATCTAAAAGGAAAGAAGGCATCACGAGATCATTATGAGGAAGATACTTTAAAATACTGCTTATAATACTGTTTATGCTTATAATACTTAAAATACTGCCTAAATCAAGTTAAAAATGTTTTACAATTTTACGATTCGTTCGTCAAGTATTTTCTTTTTTGGTCTAGTTTCTTTCTGTAAAAAAAATAAAATAAATACAATTCACGTGATAACTTCCCATATATTTTAAATTTAAATTTTTTTTAAAAAAAAAATTTTTATTTATTAATTGTTTGTTTGTTTGCCACTGAATAACTGTAATTACATCGAATTTATGTATTATTGTATTTACATTTTTTTTTTTTTTTTTAAAAAAAAAAAAAAGAAAAAAACAAAGAAAATCGAATAAACGAAGTATAAAATCTAAACGAAAAATATATTGATTTTTTGATTCCTAAAATATTTTTGTTTGCGTTTGTTTGTGTTTTTTTTGGTTTATTATTGTATTATATGGTGTTGATTGAAGTTGTATTCTTTTTTTTGTGGATCAACCACAAAAAAAAAAAAAAAAAAAAGAAAATTAAAAATTAAAAATTAAAAATTAAACCCATATTTACAATAATTTAAAGTTTTACGAATGATAGAAAAAAAGGAACACCTCGAAAGAAATATATATAAAAAAAAAAAAAAAACCGAATAATAAAAAAAAAATGAAACTAAATCTTAATTAATATTCTTAAATAAGTAATAATAATATTAATAATATTAATAATCTATGAACAACAGACACCTTTAACGTTATCCATTAATATTCCATTAGAAAACATATCATTATAATGATAATATCCCCACATATCAGTAACACTACTAAAACTATTATTAATATTATTAATATTATTAATATTATTATTATTGTTGTTGTTGTTGTTGTTCATATTGTTGTTACCAAAAGATAAGAAATTATTGGGTAAGAAAGAACCTAAATCAACACCTCTTGGAGTTGATGGTGATGGTAATGATGATAAAGGAGATAAAGTTTGTGGTGATGATGATAATACTGTTGTGAATAATGTTAAAGATAATGGAGATGACGGTGACAACGAAGGAGTAGATGATAATGGTTGTAATGGTTGTAATGGTTGTAAGGGTTGTAATAGTGATGAAGACTTAGAGATTTGTTTGTGTGAAGAAGAAGGAATAATATTAGAAGTAGAAGTAGAAGAAGAAGAAGAAGAAGGAAGAATAGTAGTATTAGAAGGAATAATATCGGTAATGGTAGTAGTAGCAATAGTAGAAGGAATAGGATCATATAAATCATCTTTAAGTATATGAGTATCTAATTCTATACGAGCTTTTTTATCTTGTTCCAAATGAGCTTGATGTTCTCTATAAATATTAATAGGAGTTCCTAATTCTTCATCATCTTCTTCTTCCATACGACGACTGTAAGCTAAAAGGCGACTATTGCTATTCATATGTTTTAATGTTTTAATATTATTATTATTGTTGTTGTTATTGTTGTTATTATTGTTATTATTGTTGATATTGGATTCAGCAAAATTAGTAATATCTTTAGAATTTTTTCTTGAAGAACGACGATGGCGTTTAGTAGAGGAAAAAGAGGATCCAATCCTATAATTTATAATAATAATAATTAATTATTATTATTAGTATTATTATTATTTATTATTATTATTGTTGTTGTTATTATTAAAATTTATTATTAAATCGTAATTAATTTAATACTTACAAGGCAGTTGAAGAAGAAAAGTCATTTAAATCATTTGTACCATTTTGAATGGATGATTCTCTTTTGGCTTTTGATAAAGTCATTGTAGTTGATTCAATAATTTTGGTGGTATTCATTATGTTAAAATTTGAAAAATTCTATTCTAATTTATTATTAAAAAGATAAATCTAATATATACTTGAAAGTTTATAAATAAATATAATATTTCAAGGTTTGATATATTCAAGGTTTAATTAACGTTTAAACTTATTTGATTTTTTTTTTTAGTTTTTTTTTTGACTTTTGATGAAAGTATAAAAAAAAAAATTCAGATTTGAAATTCAAGCTATATTTATATATTATATTTTATATATATAATATATTTTTATAAAAATGATGATGTTTATTGTCAATATCAAATTTATTTACAACCTATTACACTAACTACTAATTTTGTACATCCGTTTTTTTGACCCATATAACACAACTGCAATTGCACAGCCATGTCATTGTGAAACAGCTTTTTAATACAAATAATCAAAAAATTATAAATAATAATAATTAATGTATACGATGTATAAAAAAAATTTTAAAAATACGGGTAATGTTTGTTTTCGTGATACCAATGAATGAAACGGCTTATATTTTTAATTTCGATGAAGAAGATGAAGTTGTTTGATATTATGATTTTGTTTATGGCTATCGTTGTTGTTTATTTCTTTTCTGTTGATGTTCCCGTTGTTATTGTTGTTGTCGTAGTTTAATGGAGATGTGGCGTGGAAAAAAAAAAAATAAAGGTTCTCTTTCTATTTATTTTCAGTATAATCACATATCTACATTTATTTATTCATTTTATTTATTCTATTTTATATATAAATATTATTATTACAGTTAGTATATTTTTATAAATGTTATATAAATTTCGTAGATTTTAATTCTTATTGAAGTGATCAAGAAAGGATTTTATTTTTGTGTAAATGATTAACTAAATTTTGATCAAAAATAATAATTGGAATAAAAAATAAAAATAAAAATAAAAAAATTAGAAATAGTTATAAATTTGAAAAATGTGATTAAAGAAGAAAAAAAATCTGTCAGAACGTTACGTATGATTCATGATTTTAAGGACTAATTTTTTAAGGGTGATTTTAAGGGTGACTTCTACCTAAAAATAAATTTCCTTATTTTTTTTTTCTTCTTTCCTTTGTTCTTTTGTTCTTTTGTAACGTTTTAAAATTCCATGTGATTAAATCATTCGCTTAAATTATCATTGACTCATTCTGTTATTAATTATTAACCATTTTTTCTTTCGTAATCGGAAACCTATTTGATTTTCTTTATAAATATCTTCCAATTAAATAAATCATTTTCAAAAATTAATTTATAACAATTTATAACTGTCAACCTGATTTGTTTTCATAAATGTGTAATGTATCAAAGAATTTGTGAAAAATTTCCAAAATTAGATTTTTATGCTAATTCTTAACAATATTACTAAAATAATTAATAATAATAATAATAGTAACTGACAACAACAATAATAATAATAAATAAATAATAATAAATAATTATAATAACAAAGACCAAAATATATCACATGCTCGGATACCTCCTTAAAAAAAAAACCTTAAAATAGGTTTTATATTTTTATATTTTTTTGTATTTGATATTGGTGATATTTGAAAGTTTAAAAATCCTTGATATGAAGTGATAATGACAATAATAATTAAATTATTACACAACAATTATTTGTTATGTTTTCAGCCACATCACGCGCCACCATTTTTTTTGTATAACGTCAAAAACTAAATAATTGACAAATTTAATTAATTGATGTTGATGATGATACTTTAATTTAATTAATTAATATAAGATCCACTTTAACTTTTTAATAATAAATAAATATATATAAATGCTTTTTTTTTTTTTTTTTTAATCTATCCTCTTAATATATACTTTAACAGTTAATACACACAATTTTGGATGCTTCAATCGTAATATCGAATTCCGAATTCCGTTTTTTACAAGTATCATCATCATCAACATTTTTATATTTCTTTTCGTGAGTGCAAAACTCATACTGTGTTTCGATGGATCAAAATTTCCCCAATATGGTAAACTGTTTGTACTCGAGCATTTTATCCGTTTGATATATTTTATATATATATCTCTCTCTATCTTTTATTTTATTTTATTATATTTTATATGCGATATTAATATATGCAATATCTTTATATGCGAAATTTTTATGTTATATTTTTACATGTTTACATGCGATATATTTTTATATATATTTATATAATATTTTATAAAATTCGGGAACTTGATTTCTAAATTTGGAAATAAAATTCTATGACTCAAAGTCGAAATCACCCGAAACTCAAAAAATTAAATTAAGAAATCTCATCAAAATTTTGTTTATGAAAAAAAAAAATATCAACCCATAGAACAAAAAAAAAACAACAACAAAATGTGTGTGTATTTTGATTTTGCATATTAGAACAAAGACAGAATGTACATATATACCAATATTCTAACTTTTTATAATTCTGATTGATGTATATTTACGAAGAAAGTTTTAATATCATTTTACCATTTTTGTTTTTTTTTATCTAATAAAATACGATGCAATAAGATTTCAAGAAGCAATGTCATAAGATGTCATGAGATATCAAAACTATAATTAAAGTAATTACTGTAAGGTAACAACTAATTGGATTTTAGAAATCTATAACTTTTTAAATTGATCTCACTGGAGGAATTGAATGGTGGTGGTTTCATATCAATTAGATTGATATTGATTTATTATACATGATATTCATGACATTTCAAATGTTACCCAAATTCTTAAATCCCGAATTACTATTAAATTATTATAGTCCTAATCCCAAATTAATTTAATGTTTTTAATAATTTGAGCAACACGTAATGAAAATTTTAATCTTCAAGGCATACCTTCATAATATACAAACATTAGAAAAGCAAAATAATTACCTCCTTTATATTGTAAAATATATATAAAGAATAAGTTCCATCCAATAAATAGGTGTAGTATTGATATATGACATAAATTTTTTTTTTTTTTTACACTTAAGAATATACAGTATAGTATGTTTATGTCCAATTTTCTGTAAGTTTCTGTCATTACTTAAACATCAAAAATCAATTATATACGCGTTTCCATTATCACTTGAATATCAAGATTTTTGTGTCATCATTTTCTTCAATTTTTATATAAATTATCAAATATTTTGAAACAGTAATAATGTACTTATTTAATATCAAATAGAGATAATACTTAGCTTTATAATGAAAAAGAGGAGAACATAGTAATATAAATGAATATCCGATCCATGCTTCAACAATCCCACAAATTTGTATCTAACATTACATGTTAATAAAAAAAAGAGAAGATGGTTAAAGATATGAATGAAATAAATATCTGATCCATGATTTAACAAACCCAGCAAGCAAGCTTAAATGGAGGTACCAAAAAAGATTCAAACAAAAAGATTAAGTTTCTTTATAACAACAATATATAGTAAATTACCGTATTTAAAATTTAGATAAAGCTTAACTTTTTGATATAAAAAAATTTCTAATTTCTAAGGTAAAGCCTAATCTCTTGATGTAAAAAATATAACCTCTGGGATTAAAGTATAACCTTAAACTAAGATGATATTCTCAATTATTTTTACAAATCCTTAATATTGCAGATTTTTTTAAAGTAGAATTGTGACTTCAAATGATATTTTTCAGATAATTTTTTAGTCAAAATATCTTAAATCATGTATATATATAACTTTAATTTTATTAAATAAATATCAAAAATATCAATAATTAATCTTAAAGCCAATTATATATAGTTATTGGATGCGTAGCAGACAATAACAGTTTTATCAGTCAGGTCTCTTGACCAATAAATTAAGTATCTTATTTATCAGATACAGTTGTTATTGGCATTGCGGAACATCCAATAACAAATTTATCTGTCAGCTTAAAAAGCTTAAAAAGTTAATGATAGTAAAAAAAAAATGAAAATAAAAATAACATTAATAATAAAAGTGAATATCAAGATCCTTTGAAGATTAGCTCCAAAATCAAAAATCCCACTTTAGGTGATATATGACAAATAAGAAGAACTAATAATTATTTAAATTCTTCTAATCAAAATAATAGAGCTATTATTCATAATTATTATAATATTACTACTGATTCGGTTAATTTTAATTAAGCTAAAAATGTAATGGGTAACAAATAAAGATAATAATTTATATTTACTGTAAAAGTTCTAGACTTTTTTTCTTTAAAAATGTTATAACCTTAGATATTTAAAACTTGAATATTCAAAAATTAAATAATGAAGTTCTATAATATAATTATTATTCTCTTAATTCTTTACTTAATGTTACTCTTGATATTTTATTAATAAAAAATAAGTAAACTACTATGTAGTAATATTTATAAATTATTTTTATTTTTTATTTTTAATCATTCAAATTACTAATTTTCAAATAATGATATAATTACATAATTGCAAAATTTAATATCATAATCTTAATTTATAAGGTATTATTTTTACATAATAATACATAAATTTACATAAATCTACATAGGTCCTGTATATTGTTGCATTGGGAAGAAATTTAGAATGGAAATTATATCAGTATATTTCTTTTGTTATTTTTGTTAATATTTTTTCATTGCTGCAACATTTTATCAATGGTGACTAGTGATATGGACTAAAGGGTTTAGGAGAGTTTAAGAGGTTTGGATCACAATGGACTAAACTAAAAGGTAAAATGCAGAAGGACTTTTTACTATGGCAAAATTTTTATTTACTTAATTAGGTTTAGAACTACTATCCTGGGTGGTCATTGAAATAATAAGATTAATACAATTAAAAGATAAAAAAAAATATAGCAGGTTTAGGACAGTTTAGCTACTATCTTTAGTGATGGCAACATTAATTTATTTTCCTGAAACAAAAGTAAGGGTGTATTTTATTTGAGTGTTATCCATTATCAACTTCAAATAGTATGCATCCAGTTGACAAATTTTTACTATTATTATATGTAAATTCCATAGCTGATAAAAGTTTATCTTAATCATTTAGTCAATAATTAGTATAGATACA